ATTTGAACCTGAACCAACGACACAAATATAAATTGGGTATAATTGCCTATTACTCGACTCGTCTACCTTACTTTACCCACGAGTGTAGTTGCACTTTCAATTGAATTGTAAATATTATTAAAGTTATAAAATCCACCATCAAGGTTGATTTATAATGTTGTTCAAGTTAGAACTCAATAGTTATGCTATATTTTTCCCTTTGAAAACGGGGCACTCTGATGAGATTTGAACCTGAACCACCGATATAAATTTTAAGGATTAAGTCTTCTGCTGACATAATAATATTAATGTGGTATAATTGCCTATTACTCGACTTGTCATATTACTTTAGAACCCAAGAGTATAGTTTTCTTTCTATTGAATTGTAAATATTGTTAAAGTAATAAAATCTACTATCAGAGTTGATTTATAATGTTGTTAAAGTTACAAAATCCACGTAGGGCGACTATACATTCCGATATCTTATATGCAAATCAGAAATAATAGATGCTAACTAAACAATCAAATTTTTGGTAATTGAGAGAGACTATCTTCTTTATCTTTCGAATTAGCCATCTTTATGGATTTCATATTTACCTACCGTTGAAGGTTTTATTGACAACTTATAATCAATAATGTGTGTATCTCAGATTGGTTAACGTATTAAAAAGTTCGGTGAATATCAAGTATCGGCCAGAAAAAGTTTGTAGCTCAAGCAACGAATTTAAAAGTCTGAATTTAATGTATTTCGAGCTCATTGATACAGAGACAACCGTTCTTGAATTTCTATTTCTAACCTTTACTAATTCATTTTTTTTGCACAGATCTTCGATATAATATGGCCTTCCAGGGAAATGGTTATAGCTTAGGACGGACTATTATTCAATATCTGCTCGAATCACATACAAAATGGAAAATGTTTACTGCCAGCCTGCCAGGCAGATGATGTATGATGAACTATCTCAAGAAATTATTAAATTAATCGAGTTTGATGAAAAGATAATAAGTTATGATGTCAATAATAAACATATTCTTTCAAGTTAAGGATTAATCACATCGGCATCCTTGGCAAAAGTTTTTAACTTTCCTCTTTAGATGTAATTTCCTATTTATGTGTACTTGGCATTATTTCGACACTTTATGTTATTGGATATTTATTCTATTTATATATTATCTCCATTTTCAAGAGCAATTACTACTAAGGTTAAAATGAGGAAAAAAAATTCTTTGTGAGGAAAAAAAATAATCTTGTCACGAACTTCTAAAATAATAAATAATTTGAGATAACTATTTTTATAAAGACAGATAATTTGAGATAAAGGGAGTATATCTTAGCAACTGGATTATAAGCATACAAGTTTGTATAATTGCATCTTAAAAAGATTTACTCTAATCTTAGACAAATTGTTTGTGAGTCCTTTAAATGCGTTTTTTTTTTTCCTAAAAAAATGCGTATATTAATCATTAACAATTAATAAAGGTCCAAATCGGATAGAATTTTTTGGTTATTCAGTTCTAATAAAAATTTCATCAAAACTAGTGAAATATCAAAATAGCAACAGAAGGTAGAGATTCTTTGCAGTTAGGCCCTCAACTATGTGCCGAGTTACCCTTGTTCAAGGGGAGTCAATTGATATCCTGTTGTCGGAAAATTATAATGTGTAAATAGGTCAATCGTGACCAAGAGGCCACGGATTCAAGCCGTGGAAATCAATGTTTTAAAAGGCGTGGGCATAAGGCGAAACGTTTTACATATGCCTCAGCGAGGCGTAAGCCCCGATGCACGGGACATAAGCCCCATAGATATTTAATTTTTAATATTTTTTAAAATAATATAATTACAATAAATATTTATAAGCAGTTAAAATTGCATAAGAATTGAAGAAAACTATAAATATGTGAAGTGGCGCGTGCATGCTCCATCCCCACAAAAAATTAGTCAAAATAATCTATTATACGCTACTCAGAAGCACAAGTAACTTGAGTCGAAAAGAATAAATTTTTCTATATGGAGGAACAAAAAGGATGACTAACTTGCAATTTGAAATTTGAACTTGCTGCTATGAAGGAGAATGAATATTTGTAAAAAAAATTGAATATTCGTTGTTTTTAGGAGATATTAACAAAGTAGCGGACAAGATAAAGAATTGGGAAAGAACATGAATTAGGGCTTCAATCAATAAAAAAAAAAGGTCTTGACTTTTAAATTTAATATATTTCAGTTCCATTTTAAAATTTTTGAGTAATTACCAAGATGAATTTTGAGAATTCGGATATTATATAAATGACTTATTCGACAAATTTTAATTTAATTTGAAAAAGTCTCTGGGGGTTATGCTTCACTAAAAAACGCACCTCAAATGCCCGGGCGCACGCCCCGAATTGCTGGGCGTACGCCTCTTGAGACTTTCGCCCCGCACCATCGCCTCGGGGCGTTTTTGGTGTGCCCCGCCCAGGGCTCGCTCTGAAAACGCCTTTTAAAACACTGGTGAAAACAATCTCATGTAGAAATGCAGGGTAAGATTGCGTACAATAGACACTTATAGTCTCCCTTCCCTCGGACTCCGCATATAGTAGGAGTTTAGTGTACTGGCTATCCTTTTCTTAGATAACTCAATTTTTTAAATATATTATATGTTAAATTCTTTCAGATTTCGTATGTTTACTTCTTTATATTTTGGATCATTTTAGTGAAACTGTGGACTCCGCCCTTATCTCATAGAAATTGAAATTGATGGGAACCAAGTTACTGTAGTTGACCAATACACTAACATGGCTACTAACTAAATGACTTGATATATTTGATTAAGATGTGATAATTGCAAATTTGTTGCACTGTTTTAAGGTAATTACGCTTGAGAAATAAATTGTGACAGCAAAAGGTCAACTACCCTTTTGGACACAAGATTTGAAAGTGACTATACCAGTTTAACAAATTGAAAAGTTCAAATATCAATTTTCTTGCACTTATTTGGGTACATTCTGAATCTCTAATTTAGATTCCTGTTTTAGGTCCCATTTGTTTTTTTTTTAAATTTAAAATGTTTGAATATGAGATAAACATTTTTAAATGAAAAATTAAGATTTTTAAATTTCATAAAAGCTTGGCTAAACGGGGCTATTAGCATTTAACAATGGTGTTTTTATCGGCTTAGATTATCTTTTGACCTAATACATACTTTATATCATAGGATTATGGTTAGCGACCTTGAGTTTTAAATGTTCGTTTTTAACCTTCCTTTTGAACTTAGAGCCTGTTTGGACATATAATTTTTTTCATTTTTTCCGATTTTTTTTTTACTTTTTTTTGAAATATGTGTTATGACATAAAATTTTCAATTTTCACTTGAAGATGAGATTTAAATTTTTTTGAAAATTTTAAAAACTACAAAAAGCTATTTTTCAAAATTTTCACTCAGATCACTCACAAAACTTCAAAAACAACCCAAATTATATTCATGTCCAAACACAACTCTAATTTTCAAATATCATTTTCACTTTTTTTTTTAGAATTTTAAAATCCTTATGTCCAAACGCCCACTTAATTATAATGGAATAAGATTGACGATCACCATATAAGAAATGAGAATTTAATATAAAACATAATTATAAAACTCAAAAAGGACCGCAGGGGATAAATGAGTTGGTTGGGTGAATGGTTTTCCACATGGGAGACCTAGGATCGATTCCCCTCACAACAGCCTCCTCAGTGAGAGCTCATTGCACCGGGCATCCCTAGTGTGGTTTACATCTTCTGCGTGGTTTGAATTATTGCACAGTAAGCAGGTTACCCAAGAAAAAACAAAATCCTTCGAATGCCATCTTTTAATAGAGATTATCCCTAATTAAAATTTCAAGCTAAACATGATTTTACTAGTGCATTATTTACAAAAAAGGATTATTTATATAAAATTTAATTGACAGTATAATACATAGGAGAACCTTTGGCTAAGTTATTCACATGACAAAACCTAGAGATGCCAATAGTTTATTTGCCACCGACAGAAATAAATAAAAGAGAAAAAATGTCAAGGAGATGGAAATAAATATAAAAAATTAAGGCTTATTTAATTAATTTTCATAAAAAAACAAAAATTGATGTAACAACTGTCAACTCAAGATCTGCTGTCTAACGTCATTGGCTTTCTACTAACAACGTAAATAGAAAATGCTTCGTCCTCTTCAACTTATTTACCCGACGATGTTTTTAATTATAAATGCGTCAAAATAATTAATATGATTTTAATTAATACTCCGTATAATACTTATAACATTTTTAACTTTTAACAATAAATTTATTGAATCGTTAAATTTTGAACTATAATGTGATAGGTTCTCTATTAAGATAATTTTCAACTATTATTCTAAAATTTTCTTCCAAGTCTATAATAGTATACATAAATCAAATTTACATTTTAAATTCATTGCCTAATCTAATATAATCACATAAAATTTAAGGGAAAATGGGTGATAAATTATATATTCACTTAGTTTCTAAGAGTTCGTTTGGCCATAAAAAAGAACTTTACTTTTTTCGAATTTTTTTTACCTTTTTCCGAATCAGTATTTAGCCATGGAAATTTTTCTTTTTTCACTTGAAAATAAATTTTGAAATTTTTTCGAAAATTTGATAAACTCCAAAAGCAGTTTTTCAAAAAATTTCACTTCTGATCACTCACAAAAATTCAAAAATAGCCTAAAATTGTGTTCATGTCCAAATACAACTCTAATTTTTAAATACTATTTTTACTTAAATTTTGTTTTTTACTTTTTTTTTTCAGAAATATTAGAATTCTTATGTCCAAACGCCCACTAACTCAAATTAGCTAGGATTAATTTTGTAATAATATTATATAACTTAAATCTTAAGAGCGCGCAAAATAGCCGACACACCAAGAATGGACAGACAGCGCACGTTGTAATGCAATTTAGGGACAGGGGACAAAACCGTCATTATCACTAATCTCCAGGTCCTTTTCGTCTTTTGCCACTTCCCCTTTCCCTTCACCTCCATTTCCTCACTCACTTACTCTAACACTCAACTCTCTCCTTCTGCAACTTCACACACACACATACACTCCCTCTCACCCAAAATGGGTTCTCGAAGCGGGTCGCACCAGCTGAGCAACGGGTTAATCGTCTCGGGTCGACCCGAGCAGCTCAAGGAACGTCAGCCCACAATGGCCTCCCGCGCCGTGCCGTACACTGGTGGCGACGTCAAGAAGTCCGGCGAGTTGGGGAAGATGTACGGCGTCGGTCCTCCTGGCCCACCACCAACTCTTCTCAAACCCTCATCAAGGTCCTCATCTTCACAGCACAACAACAGCGGACCTGTTAGATCCGGCCCGAATTCCGGCCCTATGGTCCATAAACCCGGAAGTTCCGGCCCGATTAGGAAATCATCATCGTCTTCCTCCGGTCAGCTTATGACTCCGATTCAACCTACAGGCCTCATTACATCTGGCCCGTTGAGTACTAATGCGAGCCGGCGATCCGGCCCGCTCGAGCCCACCGGTTCGTTTAAGAAAGTTGTGTACGGTTCTGCTGTTACGAGCTTGGGAGATGTGATAAAGCTAGGATTCAGGGTTTCAAGGGTAACAATGTGGGTGTTTTTAGTGGTAGTGTTGATGGGTTTGGTGGTGGGTGCATTTCTAATGGTGGCGGTTAAAAAGGCGATGATTCTCGTGGCGATAGCGGGTGTTTTAGCTCCAATGGTGATGATTTTACTGTGGAATTTTGGGTATAAAGAACGAGGGTTGTTGGGTTTTTTGAAAAGATATCCTGATGCTGAGCTTAGAGGTGCCGTTGATGGTCAATATGTCAAGGTCACTGGGGTAATTTCGCAAACATTTACTAGCTTTGCTTATATCAGTTCTTAAATTTTCATTCTTAATATTGAGTGTGATGTGATGAGGTTGATGTTTCTAATTCTTGTTTTTAGTTATAATTTTGTAATTAGGTGGTAGTTAGTACATAATACTCACTCCATCCCAATTTAAGTGGGGGTGTTTGATTGGATACGGGATTCAATAGAGAAAGAAATACTTTTGAAACTTATGGTTTAAAATAAGGCAAATATTTCTATGGCTATGAATCATATTATTAAGGTAAAGTTAGAAATGTGTCACTCTTTTTGGAATAAGGAAAAGGAAAGAGTATCACAGTAATTGGGACGGAGGGAGTAGTTTAGTAGGATGGTACTGATGCTAGTTTTGAGACTGGCCATTTACCATTTGGTCCTTGGAGGTGTAGATTACCTTATGTTCTGGAATGAGATTTTGTCTGTGCAAACATTTGGCATGCTTATTACGTGGCGACGATGGTTTTAATTAGAGGTAGATCCATGATTTTAAGACTGTCATTCATCATCTTGTCTTCAAAGGTAAAGTTTGCTATGTTCTGGAGTGAGATTCTGTTTGTGAGGATCTTTATTGTGTTTTGAATTTGAGTTAAAGATACCATGGCTCTTGAACTAACCCAGGTTCTGCTTAAAGAAGGGTTATGTGCACCTTTTATCTGTGGGTTTCCAATCTTGGCTGCTGAGGCCTGAGTTATGGATACTCTAAGGGATCGTTTGGTTACCGGGATAGGGATACTAATCCTGGGATAAAATTTGGTACTTCATCTATCCCAAGCTTGGTAATGGTTATTAGGCCATTGGCTGATATTGGTATCAGTTTTATACCAAAAAATTGGTATTAACTGTCCCACATTGGATGTGGGATAATAATCCCTATCAATCCCAGGACAAACCTTTATATGTCCTAAAGGTTTTCGAAGTTCTTAATGGGACAGAGTTGTTGTAGGAGGATATAGGGGATAACCTAATTTGGTGTGGAAGGGATAGATACTATGTTGCTCAGGTCATTTAAAAATGTTCGCGCCCGTGTCCGATCCTCCAAAAATGCAAGTTGCATTTCCTAGCACCCGTCGATGAGGGTGAGTAGTTGCTAGCGAACTGTGTATATTCATTAAATTAAAAATCTATGCGAGAGGACTGGAGTTCGATTTTCGAAACGCCCCCAATTATTTGTTATCAATTATTATTTTGCACCCAAGAGTGCGGCCTAGTGGTCAATGATGTGGATTGAGAATCATGAGGTCCCCAGTTCAAATTCCAACGGAGTCAAAAATACTACGTGATTTCTTCCCATCTGTCCAAACATTGGTGGACAAAGTTACCTGGTACCTGTTACTGGTGGGAGGTAGCAGGTATCCTATGGAATTAGTCGAGGTGCGCCCAAGTTGGCCAGACACCACGATTATAAAAATATTATCGATAAGTATTTAATTAATTAAATGTAAAAAAATCAAGTCATTCATTATTATATAACAACCATTGGTCATTTAATCAAATAAAAATTGAGTTAAATTACATTGTTGACAAGAAATATAAGTTAATTTTCAACAAGAATGTACTGGTCTGTTCCCTGAATCCTAAAAGTTTATGTGATGTTGAAACTGACTTTTATATACACACCCGTGACGGATATACGCACCCGTACCTAAGCACAATTTTATGTGTTGTTTCACTGGATTTATGGATTCACAAAATTTCTTACACACTGAAGAGCATTTGGAAGAAAACCATACAGAAAGTTACCTCACAGTTATTAATGTTTGTTTTGAATATGTTATAACATGCTGTTTGGTTGTATTCAGACATCTAAGTTTCCACATTTAAATTTCTTCCATTCCTAGAATAATAGGAAGAGTATAATATACTGTTTTGTGTAGGTTGTCACTTGTGGAAGTATCCCACTTGAAACTTCTTTTCAGCAGATACCTAGATGTGTATATGCTTCTACAGAACTGTATGAATACAAAGGTTGGGGTGGTAAATCTGCACATCCTAGCCACCGTTGCTTCTCATGGGGACGCAGGCATTCGGAGGTTAGTTTGCATTTATTTACTATTTGAGCATTTCCAGGCTTGCTTGGCAAAAATGAATTGGTATTGCCCATCTCGGAATTTTATCTCAAGTATCACATTATTCTTTTATAACACAATTGCAAAAATACACTTGCTGTTGGTCCTTGTTTCAATTTGTCCCCGTGAGAGCTTTGTAATGCTTCCAATTTATTCCAAAGCATTTGTACTCTTATCATGTAGGAACTTGAATAAAGTTGTATTAGGTTTAAGAGCTGAAAGGTTGGGAGCCGGGGCATGCGGGGCCCATGGACTGTCAATATTCAAGGTTGAATAACTAATAACATGCTAATCTCTACAAGTTCATAGAATATATCAAAAGGCCTGACCAACATCATATGCTAACTATTAGACTTGAATATCAGAAGCTTCATCATATGCTAACTCTTCTGCTTCGGCTGGTTAGCTTTTGCATGGTTGTTGACATGGCTATTGCTGTAGTGTTAATCCTTGTGATTCTGTATTGGCCTAACTCCTAATCGTTTGTCCTAAAACTCCAATTGAAGATTCATGGTTGCTTTTACCTCTTGAAAACAGAAATATGTAGCTGATTTCTATATCTCAGACTTCCAGTCGGGATTAAGAGCTATGGTGAAGGCAGGTTATGGAGCAAAAGTTGCCCCATTTGTCAAGCCGACAACAGTTATTGATGTAACAAAGAGTAACAAAGAGTTGTCTCCCAACTTCCTGCGCTGGCTTGCTGATCGGAGCCTCTCAAGTGATGACCGCATAATGCGCCTCAAAGAAGGGTAAGTTGTGGTTTTATCTTGCAATTCACGAACTTGACAGATGATTTCACATGGGCTTTCATATTTATGTGCCTCTATCATAATTTTGTGACAACCTTCCGAGTCTTGGCTCATTCTTTGTGGTTGCTCCTAATGACAGCTACATCAAAGAAGGGAGCACTGTAAGCGTCATGGGTGTTGTAAGGCGCCATGAGAATGTCCTAATGATTGTTCCACCAGCGGAGCCTATTTCAACAGGTTGTCAGTGGACTCGCTGCCTTCTCCCTACTTACATTGAAGGCCTCATCTTAACATGTGATGACAGTCAGAATTCAGATGTGATCCCTGTATAAGTTTGCTCATGTAGTTTCAATTTTGATTTCTGATGAGTCATGACGATAGAGTGAATCAGATGGCAATGTGGGGACAGCAAAACCTCCTTGGTTGTGCCAGTGCAAAGATTCAAGTGTAACATCAAACAGGGAACATCAGCAGGGAAAGCTGAAGATGGTAGACGTCTGAAGTTAGTTTTCCCACGTTTTCACTATTTTAGCAGAGATCGCGAAGGAAGAGGAGGAAAAAGCGTTCTACCTTAAGCAGCTAGTCGTGTTGTATCGTGCATATTTCATTTCTGGTTTGGTTTTAGATACTTCTATGTACATAAACTATCAAGGTATTTATATATGTTCATATTTTGGCTTTAGCTTTCATTTCATATGCACATTCGGCTGTGGGGTTCCTCTGTAAAATAATGAGTTCTATATTATTATAAGCATTAAGCTTCTCTTGTAATTGTATCAGTAATATTACACTCTTCATTTCATTAGCTCCGTGTCTCAACTATCACCTGTTAATAAAGAGTTTATCACCTATGTCGATGCTTTCCCATAAGTGGGGGTCTAGAGAGGATAGCGTGTATGCCGACCTTACGTCTTTACTCCTACTTATAGGAAGGCAGAGAAATGTGAGGTTGTTTCTGGTAGATCCTTGACTCAAGAAAGATAAAAGGAAAGAAGAATGTCTAAAGGAGGTAGTAATTTATAAAATGCATTGAAGTAACGGTAAAGGGTAAATGGGATAGCACTCTACCCCAGTGTTCACAATGTTATCAGACATTTTACTAATGAGAAAAGTAAACACTTTCATTTGCTCACAAAGGCAAATATCCAAAAGCGAATGCTTTAGAATATTCTATTTTTCAACACCATAAGCATGTCCTCCGAGAGTGACACAAGGGAGCTAAAACCAGAACGAGAGGCACCACGATCAAGAGGTTAAAGTCTGGAAGGCATTCCTCCAGCGACAACCAGAGTTTCTCCGGTTACATAAGCAGCGTCTTCAGAAGCTAAATACGCAACAGCTGCGGCCATATCTTGTGTTGTTCCAAGCCTATTGAGTAATGTCTTGCCCTCAATCTCTCTCCTCTATACACAATCAGCAATTAGTTAACAAATAAACAATGGATATTCATCTTGTTTTATCATTGAGTAAGAGATTTAAATTAATAAGAACTTACCACATGTTCATTCTGTGTAATGAAATCAGCAAAGTGTGTAGGTACAAAACCCGGTGCTACACAGTTTACACGAGTACCTGGACTCATTTCAGATGCTAGAGCCTGGTATCAAACAAGACAATTAGAAAAAAGCTAATAGGTCATAGTTACTTATGTGGCAGGATGCCAACTTAAAAAGTTAGCACCTTAGTAAGTCCAAGAAGCGCCGTTTTTGTCACCCCATACATACCCATGGAAGCTGGTGGTGAGTAACCAGAAATTGAGGAAATCAGAACTGACGAACCCTTCTTAAGGTAAGGCGCTGCGTCCTATATAAGCGACAGAAAGAGCAGAATATTATGTGCAATGGCCAAAACATGAAAAAGTAAGCATTTGGACAGAGGAATTTCAAATAAATGGAAAGATGTGATAAAGAACAAATAGTTAGTATCCTTTAATGTATTCGATAAATGCTCCAGGAAGTAAAACATGCATTTGCAACATTTTATTCTCATCAACTTACTTGTAGTAATAGTATAGAGGCTTTGACATTGATATCCCACAGCTTGTCAAGGACCGATTCTTTAGTTTCTAGTATTGCATCCACTGAAGGATTGACAGCAGCATTTGACACGACGACGTCTAGTTTCCCATATTTCTGGAAAATTACAAATTTATATCAAAAAAGCTGGATGATACGAAATAAAACAGCATTGACTACTCATTTTTCGTAGTTAGATGTTAGAAAAAACGTGCAATTAGCCTTAAAGAAATTCTTAGATCTAAAAACCATTCCCAAGGAAACAAATAAACGCTTGACCTCCAAGAGATGTAAGCACAGACCAAGAAGTGTTGATATGAGGAGATTAGATACTAGGATAACGGAAAATACTCCAACTTTTCTCACTGATCGGGATCCCAATCAAGATTTAACAATTTAAGAATTGTGAAAATTAAGAGTAGGAATACCCTGCTGAATATGGAAATTACGGGGTTTGAGAATAGATAAAGCTTTTATTTGTGCAATCAAAATAGTGACATTGCGTTCCTGCAGCGCAACCACATATCTTGTACCTGATCTTATGTGATTTTGGCTGTAAGCATAATCTGGCAGATAAACCAATAAGATACCTAAGAACCTTGATGAAATGTGCCTAATACCTGTACATGAACTGATAACTAAGTGGTGTTTGTTCAAAATACAGGTGTAAGAAACGTCATTAGAGAAACATTCTTCAGTTTTTACAAAAACGAAAAATTATTCCCAGATATGTTTTCTGAAACAGGTGCCTCCTAAATCAAGAGCCTATCGAAGCTCTCTTTTAGGTCCTAAAATCTCTTCACCCAATGACCCTTTTCAATCATTTAAGTCTTATTTGCACTTGCTAATAATTAGAAAGATAAGAGAAACTACTACTTTGTGAACCATTTGCCTATAAAAGATTATGTACAGAGACTCTACGACCTATTCTTATCCACCTGATTCAGGAAAATAGCTGCACCAGTGCACCTGGACCTTTGATTCAATGGTTAGACTCCTTAGAAACACCCTTAAGCGAAAAACAACAGAGAAAGGTGAATTACAAGTAATTGCTTCGCATGCTAAAGAGTTTGTTACAGTTAGACTTAAAACATATAAATTAAATCAGTTTCAGTTGGTCCGAATATGAGCTAAAGAAGATTACAAACACCAATAGACCTAAAAGACCCCATTGATTCAAAATTCTGAACCGAAGTTACAATTTTAAATTTCAATTCAAGGGTCAGGCCGGAACAGTGGTACAGTGCACAGTATCATTCATACCTGAATGGTTCTCTCTATCAAATTCTTCCTCTGTTGTGCATTTGACACATGACATACTAAACCAAAGACTTCAATTCCTCGATCACTAAGTGTCTTTACTGCTTCATCTACATTTTTCTGTAAAATGAATATACAATACCTCAAGTCAAATCCAGCATGACAAAGAGAGCAAGAATAGACAGATACACATACTTCCATCCAGAAAAAAGTTGCAAAATACCGGTGGTTAAATAGCACACAATCACACACAAAGAAAACTGAGAACAGGAAATAAGCTGAAGAGAGTTGTCCACTATGAAAGAAAAGAAACGGTGCATGAGATCCCCCATTACAATCTCCTTTAAATACTCCAAGTGTTTTCCGAACCAATTGAGCCAATAAGCCTCTCAATAGAAGAAAAAATATACTCCCTCTGTCCCAATTTATGTTGCGGACAAGGCACGGAGTTTAAGAAAATAAAACTTGTAGTCTAAAACAAGGAATAAACATTTTTGTAGGTACAAATCATCTCATTAAGGTTAAAATGTAATTAGATTGTTTCTTAATAAGGAAATATGACATTCTTTTGGGACAAACAAAAAAAGAAAGTATGACACATAAACTAGGACAGAGAGTAAGAGGGTTCAGATTTAAGATCGCTCCACTCTTTGAGTTGCTCCACGCAACGCAATGGTCAGTGGTCAGGGACAAGTTGCGTAACTCTTAGAAGTTTCTATGCAACCACGCACTGGTCACGCTCTGATCGTGCACGGCTAATAAGTCCCATATTTTCTTCACTAGTCCATATCACATGGCTCTGCCCCCCGCATCTCTCTATATCGGCCCTCAACCTCCCCTACCTATACAGATTCCCATTTTTTCCCAATTTTGGGTTGCACCGTGATCATTCGTGGTCGGATCGCAATTCTATTCCACCAGAATTCAAAACATAAAGTCAACAAGAAAACAATGGTCCTATGCCTTTTGTTTGACACAATTTTTCTAGTACAAAATGCATATATAACTACAAAAAGCTGCAATTCATAGTAATTTTACCTAGCTTTTACATGTGTATATTCATTTCACAAAAAATAAGAAAATTAATATCCGAATTGAAAACTAGATGAGCTTATCCTCATATGCCAAATTTTCCCACTGATTTTGGAATTAGGATGGAGTATATGCAACAAGATAACTGAAAGGGAAATAAGCATCAAACTTTAGCAAAATTCTCCAAAAATTGGCAAGAAAGGACAATAAAAAATAAAAAAAATTGGGTGAAGAAATAAAACCTGTTTACGAGAGGAGATAACAACAGAAGCACCTTCTAAAGCAAGCCTCTCAGCAATACTAAAACCAATACCCTGTGTTGAAGCTGTGACAATTACCACTTTCCCTTCAAATCTTTTACCAATTTTCTCCATTGCTATATTTGTTTAGATGCTTAACGTTTTGAACAACACAAGATAGAAAGAAGTAGAGTATTAAGAAGCCAATAGCAGCAAGCCAAAATTGATTTCTTTTCTAGGGAAATGGAATACTAGTAATTGTTTTTCTTCTTGGAAAGACAAGACTTTTCTTTCTGTTCAGATTTGGAGATTTTAACTTTGAGTCTTGTTTTGACTAAATTTTTATTTGATATTTATGAAGGGGAGCATTGGGGCTGGCCGTAAAAGGAAGAGGTTAGTTCACACCTCTCGCAATTGCCTTTCTGGAATCCTTTCGCTAGAGCTATTATTGGGTTTTGGTACGATATTTTTGTATATATATGGGTATAATGGGTCCGGTCCCATCCTTTATATAATTGTACACTTTTATTGAATGTGTGTAAACAATCACGTATAGTTGGATAGTATATGGCCTTGTCGGTTTCTATANATATATATCTTTTGGGCATGTTTTCTCGTGTATGTTATTCACATGATTCAACAGTTTATTGACAAATGTTATACATGATATACTTAATTCATGTTTATATCTTAGACACATGCTTATGGTTGTTCGACAGGTAAGACTCAGGCATTCGTCATGACCCATCGGTTTGGGTCGTAACAAAAGTGATATCATGAAAGACGAGCAGCAAATAAGGTAGAGATTTAGGCAACTTAATTGACCTACCGGACTCTAAAGAAGAAATTAAAAACTTCTGATTTCTAAGCGAAACTCACTGCTACTTTAACACAAGGGCCGACGTCCATCATTGAAAGTGGCATCTCTAGCAACCATAAAATGTGATTTATAGGTTACGAGTTCGAGTTCGAGTTACGAAAACAACCACTAATACTAATATTAGGATAGGTTGTTTATATCACACCTTTTTGCGAAATACCTTGTACACTAGGCTAGCCTGGGCTACCCTTTATAGAATGATCAAATATTTATGGGAAAATTATGCGACACTTCAAACATATATATAGTGTTTACCATGCGTAGCTATACTTTTAATAAATTTATCAATCGTGGTTATATTTGAATTTTATAGCAAATTCATAAAACAAGAGATCAATTGTTTTGAACTGAAACAAGAGATCAATAAGCTTTCGTAGCTCAGTTGGTCAGAGCGCCCGCTCAGTTCGACTCTCAATATACAAAAGGTATGTGTTATGCATCTGAATACAAGTGATACAGACTGGTAATAATTGAACGGTAACTATAAATAATAATTAGGCAAATTATAGTTACAAGGCTCCAATGACTAATGACTAGTGTTTATACGTAATAAAGAGATGATAAGGTCAATGAGTTGGAGAACGACTTGATCAAACATCACATGTTTTACATGTATGAGGATTTATAGTTTTAAGAATTAAAACTCTCGAAAAATAAAATTTAGGCGAGGCAGTTAAGCTGTTCAAGTTCTTAACAGCTTAAATATATATATATATATATATATATATATTTTGTTTCAAAAAGAATGAACAAATTACTATTTAAAGAGTCAACAACAATTATAATAAATCTAGTGTAATTCTATAAATAGTATTTGGGAAGGGTAGTGTATACCCAGAGTTAATTACCCCTACCTTATAAAGATAGAGAGGTTGTCCGATAAATCCTCGGCTCAAAAAAAAGTGGAGATAAGATAAAGCAACCAAGTAGCAAACAATGATAACAACAATGTAATATGGTAACGAGCGCGAGTGACACAACATGTAATAATAACGAACCATGACTAAGATAATACAAAAATAGTCCTAGTACTAATGGTAAGGAGGAACATACTACCATCAGTCAACCTATAACCCTAATTCTTGACTCCACACCTTCTACCGTGGGTCATATTCTCGGTAAGCTGAAGCAATGACATGTCCTGCTTAATTGTCTCTCCCCAATATTTCTTAGGCCTACCCCTTCCTATCCTTAGACCCATCATAGACAACGACAAAGTCAAATAAGTTTTTTTTTATTATGTTTTTCGTAAATAACTTTTTAAAAATTTTAAATTGTTAATTAATTAACTATTGTGATTTATATTAGTTTCGTGAAAGAATGAATATAGAGAACTCAAGATTTAGCGTGAGGTCAATTCAGAGGTTTTTTTTTTTTTTTAAGCTATTTAGGTGATACCAATGAGCTTTGTATGCCACTAAAGACAAGGATCCGATAGTCAGAGGCGGATTCAGAATATAAATTTTATGAGTTCAATCTTTAAGATTTTTAGTACTAAACTCATTATATTCTTAAAGTTATGGGTTTATATTTATAATTTGTTGGGATTTTAGTGAACTTTTACATATAAATTTATACTTCATGTCAAAAGTTATAGGTTCAATTGAACCCATTGATATAGAGTTACATCCGCCCCGGCCGATAGTTGCATCCATTTTGCTTCCACTGGATCAAAACCAAAAAAATTAAAAAAGAATAAACATCAGTAAGACAGTATTCTCTTCCTTAGACATTGAGTTATATTCTTTTTGTCATACAATATGATAAGATCGATAAAATTCTTTAACTCTTAAAGATTTTGAGTTCGTGTTAAGAGAATTTAAGAAATTTTACTGGATTCTAATAGACTGAATTTGAGTTAATCGATTTACAACAATAACGATCCAGTGAAATTTGGGGAGGATAATGTGTAAGCAGACCTCACCCCTATCCCAAACGATATACATACTGTTTTCAAAATACCCTCAGCTAAAAAAAACGGGAAAAAAAAGACGAAAAAGCCAAATGTCCTGAATTTTCTTGAAATTAAGATTTTTATTTAATTTTTAAGACAAAATAAGTATTGAGAAATCCCTAAATAATAGTCCTAAAAAATGGCTATATGTGAAGTTCCCCTATTCTCTTTTTAATGCAATAACCACGATAATTCAGAATATAAACTATATGGGTTCAACTTTTAAGGGTTTAGCATTGAACCCATTATATTTTTAAAGTTATGAATTTGTATCTACTATTTTTACAATTTTAACAAATTTTTATACATAAATTTTTACTCTACATCAAAAGTTATGGGTTCAGTTGAACCCGTTATTAGCAGACATACATCCAAAGGCGGACCCATGTGTATGGGTGAGGGGTCACCGGACTCCATAAACTTCGGATAAAATCCTCTATATATATACGTACATATATATTTTGAAAATGGTTAATTTAAAGCAGTTGACACCCTGAACACTAAAAGTCTTTAGGGAATACTGGTTGAACAGAATAATGTACCTCCATCGCACATCTGTCCCTGGCCACGACATGTACACTAAGGTCTGCGTTTAAATCCTCATTTTATGGAAAGACCATAGAATGTGCAAAAAGAAAGACTTGGGACACCACTGATCATACGACGGAGAAACCAACAGCTCTGCCTTAGACCTCGTCATCTACCTAGGAGAAAATATTATACCATTTTGTTGTATATAATATTTGAATAAATTCTACTATTTGTCGGTCGTTTCACAATATCATGCACTAATAATATAAAAAATAAATTTACAATATTATTTTTAAAAAAGTAAGATACAAGGTAAAATTTTATATAAAAAGGCAGGGTACAAGATAAAATATAATTATTTAATAATAAGAAAGGACAAGATGAGAGTAAATTAAAAAAATAAAGAAATGATGCGACCACGCCAAATCGATCGTTCCATAAAGTGACATTTTTCTACACGACGGATTTAACGATACGATACAATAAAATTTAAGTAATTATCAAAATAAATATTGTATTTAAAGTCACAATACGATACAATACAACAAGTAACTACCATCCAAACAAGCTGTAAACTAACACATTATTGGATTTGTTTTACGGAATAAGCATTGTTTTCGTTCCATGTGAATATTATTTTCTTATTTTTCAGTTTCTAACAGGATAACATCTTATTATATTTAAAAATAATCTAATTTTAGATTTTATATATTTGATGACATCTTTTTATATTATAATCTTATTACTTGTTGGATGGCCGGACCATAAGGTCTATAGTACACAGCCTTAACAATTTTTTGCTGAAAAGTAGGGTAAGGTTGTGTACTATAGACCTTTGAAGCCCTGCCCTTTTTCGGACCCCGCACATAACGAAAGCTTAGTAGACCGAACGATTTTTTTTTTATTATCCTAAATCTCATAATATATGTAAAGACTATAAATTTTAGTTAAAAAAGAAATAAATATCAACAACTTGACTTCCATTGGATAGATCCGTTATGATTATCTCATACATGACGATTGAAACAAAAACGCACCAATAAATCCAAAAGCAAAAGCCTTCGGAACTAAGGTTCAAGAGTTAAAACGCGTTATTCAAAGAAAAATGGAAAAGAATAATAGTAGTTTCATAATATTTAATTACATAAAAGGGTAGCTGATATAACGGTAAAGTTGTCTCACAATCTATGAATTACTATAATAATTATTAATCTTTGTATTAGAGTACATTATCTATATCATACCATTTAGAATACGGCTCTTTCAGGAGCCGAGTCAGGCTTTCTAGAAGGTAGTAGTATAAGGGTCGGATGTAGTATTTTACGGCCGGGATCAATTGAATTCATAACTTTCGGTGTAAAATAAAAATTTATTAGATTATAAAAATAATATATATGAACTCATAAAGTTAAAAATATAATGAAGAAAAAAACTTAAAAATTGAACCATAAAATTTAAATCTTAGATTGGTGTCCCCTTCGTTACTACCCTTACAATAAAACGCTAACCATCTCTACTTTTCCTATTTCTTAATCTGTAAGAAACATAATAAAATAATAAGTTGCATCCAACTAATTTTAAATTCTGAATATGTTAAAAAACTAATCTCTGCTACATATTACATGCACTCAGTTCATAACTATATTAGTATTGTGCACTCTGATTCTAAATTTTGAATCCGTTTTATGTGTAAAAGTTGCATTTCGCTTTAGCATTCATTAGTTTCAAATTCTTAATCTGCTCTGTATAGCAAAAATTTCATTCGATTCTGCACTCGTTTCAAAAATTTCATTCGACTGAGAGAGAGAGAGAGAGAGTTTGTAGTGATGGAAGAAGGTGAGAGTTCGGTGGGAGATTTCGTGTCTGCGATGAAATCGGAGAATTTAAGTTCCGGCGAATTAGCGCCAGGGGCGGCGGCGGTGAAATCGGAGCAATTGTTAGCTTTGCCACCTCCATTGCCGGCGACGGTGGAGAAGGAAGAGGACAAAGAGATGATGTGTCCAATTTGCATGCAAATTATGAATGACGTGTTCCTCACGGCGTGTGGACATAGCTTCTGCTACATGTGCATTGTCACTCATTTACAGAACAAAAGAGCTTGTCCCTGTTGTTCTGTTTGCTTAACTGTTAAGCAGCTTTATCCTAATTTCCTCCTCAATAAGGTAATTTTTCATCTTTAATTCCCCTATTTATATTCGTGCTTGTTTTAAGTTATTTTTTTAATTTTAAGTTCCATAAACTGACTGTGTAAATACTAGTTATATAATCAAGTCACTCATTAGGTAATTACAGGTAAATCTCTTGACAAATATTAATCGTTAATTTGATAAAAAATGGTAGCTAATCTGCTATTATAAGTTAAAATTCAATGTGAAAAAATGTGTGCATTTTCAGTTTATACAACAACAACAACCCAGTATAATCCCAACAACCCAGTATAATCCCACTTAGTGGGGTCTGGGGAGGGTAGTGTGTACGCAGACCTTACCTCTACCCTGGGGTAGAGAGGCTGTTTCCAAATAGATCCCCGGCATCCTTCCCTCCAAGAACTTCCCACCTTGGTCTTGGGGAGACTCGAACTCACAACCTCTTGGTTGGAAGTGGAGGTTGCTTACCATCAGAGCAACCCCTCTTGGAGGTTGCATTTTCAGTTTATATAACTGACAATTCACATAATCAGGTATTTACAAATAAACTTGACAAATATTAATTGGTAATTTGGTAATAATGGTAGCTAATATGCTATTATTGGTTAAAATCCATTGTACAAAAATGTGTCCGTTATCCGTGTATATAACTTCAATCATTTTTTTTATATTGTTAAATTGTTGCATTTGTTTGAAATATAGGAGGGAAGACAGGAAATATGTTGTGGAAGAGGTTTATTCATTCAGTTGACAATGATCAAATTCTTACTTCCGGTTCTACATTAGTTGGTACTTGGAAGAACTTCTTGGGGCCTTGCCCATTCTTTTCATTTTTTTTTTGTGTGAGTTGTTTCCTTTTAGTAATTGTGATTTGATCCTAGATTTGCATAAAGTTTTTTATGATTTTCACTTACACAAACATTGGTAATACTTGAAGTCTATTTAAGTTAAAGTCTCAGCTCAGCTGTCTCAATTCTAAACTAGTTGGGCAGGTTTTTTTGAGTTCTCTGAATTCATTTCTCTCAATTTCTCTTTATTCATTGGATTCGTTACTCCTAATTTAATTATCTTTACGGTAGCCATCAATTTACTGCAGAACTCTTCCTTTATTTGGTTTTTGGGATCTGTCATACTTTACGAGTTCAATCCAATATTTGAAAACCTATTATAAGTGATTGATAGAATGATATAAAACAAATATTAGTTTGTCGCTATGAAGAAATCCATAAGGAGCTGCTATGCTGGCTTCCGAAGGTAAGACTTCTATGAACAAGTAGTGCAGGAATTGATCACTGCACTTCAAAGCTGGGAATAGAGGTAACTGTTTCCTATCTTGTGAGCAAATGCTCTATATGGATCTTAAGCAAGCATTTATGGAGAAATTTGTTTTCAGAATTTACATTGAGATTCACTTGAATTGGTGAATAGTTTATGGAAGTCTTTCATATAAACTCTCGAAAGATGTAAGTTTCTTTCCCGTTAAATGCTTTCTCTCAAAACTCTGAATAGATCAATGTTTGAGATGATAGAGAACTTCATTGATTCTCCTTTATTGTATTTCAGTTCCATTGTTTCTTTTTTCTTCTCACGCTCGTTCCTTCTTTTTTTGTTCTTTCTCCGTTTCGTGCTCAACACTTCACTGCTTACTGATTTATTGATGATTAATTACATCGCTCAAAGGTTATCTATCTGTCGATCGAAGTTGTGTTTATGTGCTTTATTGTGCAGTTATTGATGAAGACCTCTGCTCTCCAAATAGCCAGAAGGGCCACGCCTTTGGAACAACTTTCTCAAGCAATACAGCAGGTCAGATATTATGTTCTGCGTTAGACGAGCTTTCTTGTTTCTTATAGTAAAGTGAACGGCTTAGCAGATTATTTGTTGTGATGATGATGAATTGCAGTTCCTGATGTTAGTGGAATTTGTAAGAAAAGGGTAGGGAGGGTAAAATATATCTCTTTCTCAAAAAAAGGGTAGAATATGTTTCAGCTACATCCTGTCTATTTGCAAGAGGAAAAGTCATCTGACAGGATATAGTTACTTGGACATGCTCACATCCATAACATGTGGGTACTTAGTTATTTTGTGTTGATAGTTTCTTTTGAGAGTCTTTATCTAGCATTTATCTTGCCTGGGTGAGCCATTTATCTCTTGGAGACTTCTCATTCTGATTCTTAACAGGGAAGCGAGGTGTCTGTTAAAGAGCTTGAAAGCCTCTTATCACTTCTTATGGACAAGAAAAGGAAAATGGAGCAAGAAGAAGCTGAATCAAGTCTCCGGATTATGCTTGAGTTTCTCCAGTTTTTGAGGAAGCGAAAGGTTGAAGAGCTTAATGAGGTTTGTCTTGAACTTATATCTATTAACTTGTAGAGTGGTTTTTAGTTTTGTAATTATTTATTCTGTCGTGGACAATTTGGTTCTTTCTTCTATTAATTTTAGATGCTTCATGCGGTTAGGACATGGGTTTATTTTGCTTTGTAGACTAAATGGAGAAAGGCATATTCAGACCTGCTTTTTCCCTTAGATGTGACATGAAAATTTAATGCGACATGAATTGTGAATTACTTCAAGAAGTTTGGGCAATGCTCCTATATCTCAATTGAAGTGTTCCTATTTCTTGGAATTTTGGGCACAGTTATCCAGGCTGGACTTGAATTTTGTTTTAATTAATTTGAATGGTCCGAGATAGAGATCCCACAATATTTTCTGGAAAAAAAACAATGGAAAAGTCTCGAAAGTAATGGAAAAGCCTCTCTTTCAGGAAAGTGGAAGAACTTTGAGACAACTCAAAATAGAGGGTAAAGCAATCAATTTGGAACCAAGGAAGAATACTTATAGTTTTAGCTGTATGTTTTCTCGGTTCCCACAGGCTTGATTTCATCTTTCTCCTGCTTATTAGGGTGCAAGCAGATTATTTACTATTTCCTGCATATTTCATAGGTTGAAAATGATCTCCAGTTCATTAAAGAAGATATAAGTACTGTGGAGAAACATAGAGTGGAATTGTATAGGGCAAGGCATAGATATGCAGCAAAGATGAGAATGCTAGTAAATTATTCTTCTGCGGTGACAGTTCCGCCTTCATTGATAGATAAGCAAGGTAGTGGCATTGTTTCTGGTTCCTCAATTTCACAGCAACAAGGATATGCTGCTTCAGACACTTCACAGAACAGGAAAGCAGATGCAAGAGCTCCAGAGAATGTTCACAGGACAGATTCCGACTCGCAGAATTCTGATCAATCTGGACTTGCGACAGCAAGAAAGAGACATATCTATGCACAGGTCAGTATTTTGTAAATTAGCTTATTGGAGGTTGTTGTAAATTTTGGGGTTGGCCTATGCTGGAAGAATATTTCGTTGTTTATATCCCCTCTTTAATACACATATTGCAACAGCTCGATGATATACAAGGTTATTATTTGCAAAAGCGGCGACACTGCACAAAACAGTCACATAGACAGGAAGAAAGGGTAGCAAACGTCATAAACAGAGAAGGTTATTGTGCAGAACTTGAGGATTTTCAATCTGTTCTATCTACCTTTACGCAATACAGGTCCGTGTTCTTCGGTCAATACATTTTGCATTGACTGCAAAGCCTCCTATATATTTGAGCTTAAAGTTTTTGTCTATGTTTTTTTTGTTCAAACAGTCGGTTGCGGGTTGTTGCTGAACTTAGGCCTGTCGATCTTTTCCACTCAGCTAATGTTGTCTCAAGGTAAAGAGCTTATTGCATGTAGAAAGATTCCATGAGCTAGAGGAGTTCTAATAAGTACTGAAGGCAAGAATGTAGCTCCCTCCAAGAGGCCAATTTTTAAAGTTATAAAATTTAAATGATGATCTATGTTGCTCGGACTCTCCGAAAATATGGCCGGATACGTGTCAGATCCTCCAAAAGTAGTGCATTTTTGAAGGATCCGACACGGATGCGCTACATTTTGTAGAGTTCACGCAACATAGATGATGATGCCAGTCTGTTGATGTGTTACCACTAGTCTACAGCTGTTAAAAATTAGTGCATCTTACATGTTTTATTTACCGTTGAGTCAAATAATTCAGTTCCTATTTTATAGGAATAGTATCAGCTTAGTTGTTCATTTGGATAAGATTCTTGTTGCGGAAGCCAAATGTATATAGTGTGAATGAGTCACAACTACTATACCAAAAATTATGACGGCCACCAAATAATAAATAAGATAATAAAGCAACAATAAAATNCCTTGGCAAAATTCCACATCTTCAATTTTCTCTTAATAACAAATTTTGGTTGTGTCTTCATCTTTAATTTTCAGTGTTCAACATTGTTGATCAAATCCAAACAATGTTGAAACTTGACCGCAGTCACCACTTTTGTCAGCATATCAGCAGGATTCTCTGCAGTATGAATTTTCTTCACCGTGACTCCAACTTCTTCTATGATTTCTCGTACGAAATGATACCGAACATCAATGTGCTTCGTCCTTGCATGATAAACTTGGTTCTTCGCTAATTGAATAACACTTTGACTATAACAAAAAATTGTGATACCTTTTTGTTCAACACCAAGCTACTTTAGCAATCCTTGAAGCCAAATTGCTTCCTTCACAGCCTCTGTAATAGCCAAAGCAACTGTTGACTGCAAAGTAGACTTCCAACTAACTGGTGCCTTTGCAAAAGTAAACACATAACCAGTAGTTGATCTTCGTTTGCCCAGATCACCCGCAAAATCTGAGTCACAATATCCAACTACAGACTGATTGTCTTCCTGCTTAAAAACTAACCCAACATCTACAGTATTATGAATATACCGTAGAATCCACTTCACATCTTGCCATTGCTCCTTTCCGGGATTATGCATATATCGGCTAATAACTCCAACAGCTTGTGAAATGTCAGGTCTCGTACAGACCATTGCATACGNNTCTATCTCTTATTATCTCCATGCCAAGAATTTTCTTTGCCTCACCCAGATCCTTCATCTCGAACTCCTTCAGTTGAATCTTCAACTTATCAATTTCTTCCGAATTCTTGGAAGCTATCAACATATCATCAACATATAGGAGAAGATATATAAAGGAACCATCTTTAAGTTTGCGCAAATACACACAATGATTGTATTTGCTTCTCTTGTACCCTTGCTGCAACATAAACTTGTCAAATCACTTGTACCATTGTCTAGAAGATTGTCTCACTCCGTACAACGATTTTTCAAGTTTGCACACTATATTTTCTTTTCCAGCAACTTTGAATCCTTCTGGCTGAGTCATGTAGATCTCCCTCTCCAAGTTTCCATGTAAAAACGCAGTTTTTACATCCATCTGAACTAGTTCCAAATCCAACTGTGCTACCAAAGCCAACATAATTCTAATGGAGGAATGTTTTACGACTGGAGAAAACACTTCGTTGTAATCAATTCCCTCCTTTTGAGCATATCCTTTGGCCACCAATCTTTCTTTGTAGCGAACATCT